ACGCATATCGGAATCGTGAGCTTGATGCTATTGAAACTGATGGCCCGCAGACGACACTACTAATCTATCTCAAAATGCTCGCGCCGTCGTGATGTTTCGTTGCCCGAGTGAGACGAAAACTTTTGTGGTTGTCGTAGACGTTTATTGGCGTACTTTGGAACCCAAAAGTATCGAACACCTGTCTACGTGAGGATTAAGCCATACAAGCAAACAAATGAAACAACGAGGTGGAAGCCTATCACAAGTGTCACGTGGGTCGGAAGAGAACCCAGTTTATTTATACACCTCAGCTTAAGACCGTGCTGAGTAAAATACAATCAACGAGGTAAACAGAAAGCAATGTTACAGTCAGAGTCAAAGCTGACAGTGACAAGAAAGGAACGGAACGGGAAATGTCGTCGTGGATTGCTCCTTTTTTCGTACAATAATCGTCACTACAGCAGCTCCTCGCTATGAAACAAACAAAAACTTTCGAGTCGGAACAGGTTTCGGAAAATAAGCAAACGATCGTTAGTGCGTGTGAAATTGCTACAAGACGCTGGTTCGCGGGAGCGCGTGCAGGTTTAGACTGTATCGCATTGGTTGAACACGAACCAGATTAGTTTCTTCAGATATCAGTATGGAAAGCCTATTATCGTACCCTCAAGCGATCCTTGGATGTATCACACCATGTTAACAGGCGGTTCTTGTAGTTTCTGGAGTCCATGATCTTTGAAGTGCCAGATTTTTTATCAAACATCTAGGTGTATTGAACAGCGGACGGGGCGAACCCCATAGCCACGAGACCCTGCCGCTCAATGATGGAAACTACCATCCTAAGCCCCGGGACTTGGAGTGGCGAATTACATAAGATTCCAATAGGATAGCCGTGGTACTGAACTGGAAGCTGACAGAGATACCCATCACCAAAGTTGGGTGGCAGTGGAGGGACTCGAACCTCGGACCACAGGATCCGAAGCACCCCGGCGACAGCGGCTAAACCACTGTGCCACCACCAATAAGCAGATCACTTGATATCCATCTATGTGACTATTGATGCCTATGCTTTCTTCAAAATCCTCTTGAATTCCAGTGGAGCCACGAGCGTACGACAAGGTGTCGAAATTCTCCTGAAACATTAAGGCTACCAGTAAGCGTTTTGTATAACCTGATCACTGGAAGTAAAAGATTGTCAGAGAAAACCCGGTGTAGCATCTCATAATTAAAACTTATTAATTAATATTGAAGAAATATTGAGCACAGGAAGCAAGAAGCGGGATAAAGTACCTTGTAATATAAGTCGAAATAGGTACAGATCATGTTTGAGTATTGTACCGATCGTGGTTCGCTCAATCTCACAGACGGAAAAGCAGTCCTTCCACCTGAATATGTGATTGATGTCTAGCCCTGATTTAATATGTTACGCGTACCCCGCTGATCAAAACTTAAAACAACTGCCTAATTCGAAATCTTGGCAAGTACTGCTTTCAGTGAGCCCGACCCCGAGTTAGATGCCTCAGCTATCGACCGTGCAGGGATAACATCACGTCTCGTACTGGCACACACGACGCATTCGTCAACATGTGCTACCTTAAGGCGTTCAATGTTCATCGTATTGACATGAACATGTTGGAGAACTTTTCCAGGCAAAACATAACTGGAGAAGGTTCTTCATAAGTTTGTTGCAACAGTTTTTGTAACGTATTGATTCAATTGAATACGTGCAAGCGGTTTAAGAGTTAAGAAGGAATAAACACATTTCTTTACTCTATTCCAGTTTGTGCTGAAGTCGGGGATTGCATAAGGACAGACAAAAGTTGCACATAGGTCTGTATTCTGATGGAATCCAAGTTATGTTTTGTGGAAAATTCCCTAGGCAGTTGTGATGTAGTGCCAAAAAACAAGTTCAGTAGCTGTATATTTTGTAGTTACCTTCATTCATTTTACGATTTATAACAGAACAAAAGGTAACATAAGGTACCAATAAAGGTTGTCATATGCACTGAGGGTACCCTTGTGTTAACGGTGAAAACGTTAAACTAGACCGTTAGAAGCTGGGTGGTAAGCAGTTGTGCAAATGCGTTCTGTACCCAACAACCGTTTTAAAGAAGAGAACAATTACGATTCGAATTATGCTCCTCTGTCAGTCTTGACAGTAGAGATTCAACCGTTCAGTGCTGTTTGTCGTTCTACAAGCTGTCGCACAACGGTTTCGGTGGTGGCTTTAAAGATAAGAATAGGCCCAGGCCATTTAGTGAGCCGGTTAATACATAACATTAAGTGGGTATACCCGTGTGATGGTGGAAATGGACCGTCACTATCACGTTATCAAAGCTAGCGTCAGGCATAAGAAACCTATTGATTGATGCAGTTACATGCCTATGCACTTAAATCGTTAACACTGTTTTGCCCACATTCGAATGCCGCTATGTGTCGGGTAGAAATCAAGCAAATGGTCATGGAACTGGAATGTTGATTGTTTCTTTTGCAACTTGTCATAATTTGATAAACTGTGATATACCAGCCTGTAAGAGGATCACCGCAGACGAGCTTGTTTGCTACTCTGTGTTTTATTACAATGTGTAAGGATGATATATTCAGCCAAACAGATGTTTGCTGTAACACTCCGGGGAAATAAACCATGTAAGGTATCGCAAACGACATGATGATAGAATAAAGGTACTATGGGTTGGTGTAGACTTGTAGACATGTCACATGAGATGGTATCACTGAAAGTGGTTAATAGTATGGCCTGACATCTTAAAACAGTTGAATGGGCCGCTTCTTTGCAAGGTGCATTATTTTTCTGAGCATCAGTTGTAACGTAGTAGTATTGTATTGCAGTATATCTGAATGGAGAGTTTACCACATTAACGTATTCACGTGATAAAGCATCCGAAACGCAATTAGACTTACCTTAGTCATGCTGAATATCAGTCGTGAACGGCGAAAAATAATCCAAGTATCTGATTTTGTGAGGTAAGATACGGTAAGACTAAGTATACAAAGCATATGCTAGAGGCTTATGATCCGTATGTAGGGTGGAATCTCGACCCTCGATTGCGTGACAAAAATGCTTTCTATCGTGGTAAGCTACCAGCAGCTGGCGTTCAAAAGTATAATATTTTTTCTGTGGATGCGAGGCATCGATAACAAAACTCAAGAGGATGTCAAAACCCAGAAGCCTGTTGTTGTAAGATCGCTCCAAGAGCGACGTCTGAAGCATCAAACGCTGTACTAAGCGTGGCTGATGATACAAGATGCAAAAGCAGCGAGCTCTGAGCTAAATGTGTCTTTATCTCTTGGAATGTTACTTGTGCGGCATTCGTAAGCATAAACTTACATGGATTACCATGAAGTAGGTCCTTAAGAGGTTGCAATCGTTGTGCGGGGTGTGGGGTGAGTCATCTATAGAGATTCACCAAAACGCAAAACATCTTAAAGTTTTCGACTAAGAATGTTACAGCGAAATTTCTGATAGCACGTACTTTATCCTTACATGGTAAAATACCACCTTGTTTGAACTTATAGACAAATAAAATTACTTCCTTTCACCAAGCTCACATTTATGGAACATAATTACTATACTATTGAAATAAAAAGTCAAATGATGATAACGTTCATCTGTAACGGGAGGGGCGATGAGTAAATCATCAACACAAATGTGGACAAAATGTAAATGTCTAGGTATACTGTAAATCAACCGTTGCGAAGCCCGAATACCGTTTTCCAAACAAAACCGGAGGTAGTCATGATAGCTGTCTTTTCGACATCTTCATTGTAGAATGGAATCTGATGATAAACTTGTATCAAATCAGTCTTAGGAAAATATGGTTGCCTCGTGAATTGATGCTGTAATATCATGTATGTGGGGAATAGGGTAACTATCAAAATGACTTACTGCTTTAAATGACTGATAATCGCCATATGTTCTTCGGTTTATACTGTCTTTAGTAGAGATACTGTACAGAGGAAAAACTCATGAACTATGAGAAGTGAAGTGAATTGTCAAACTTACACTTGGCAAATGCTAACTTGTCCGGTGCCGGTCGACGGAGTCGTGCCTGGCGGACTCCTAGTGAGTATGTAGTGTGTCACACAGTCAATGAATTTAGTTAACTAGGGGAATCGGGCGATCAAGTCCTGGAAGTTCACAGGGATATTAGGCATCAAACCCGTGATTTCGTAAATGCCTTCGCAGGTTTTGAGATCCGTGAATTTATTATTCGACCTTGGGTCGATCAACTGCGGTCTACGTGAATCGACAAGCAATTCATAGCACTGCAAGAAATCGAGACCCGGAATTCCAGTGGGAACATTCGCAAGAGTGAACACCCATGGATACTATCATTGCCTTCCCAGATGGACCATAAGTTGTCTTCTTGTGATAGTCTGTACTTGGTATCGGAAATCGAATTGCAATAAATCCACGCAGTTAAGCTTCAACCGAACTAGTACGCAGCATGAAATAAACACCATAATATTCGAAGTCGAATTATTTTCCGCGCCGAAATTGTACAAAGCAATCGATCATGTAGAGAAACAAGAGTGCTCAGTTTATACACAATCACCACATCCACCGCAACTTGAATGCAGCTCGGGGTTGCTGTAATGAAGTCTCTCTTTGCAACGCAAACGTTCTGACCTTTGAGGATTTTCAACGGAATTTTCGGAAAGTTCATGTGAATGGTTTCCATCTGAAATAGACTCAGAAAGAGAAGGATTAGAAGATTCAAAATTGAGAATATCACAAATTACTTGGTCAGTATGTCTGCGATGAACTGATGACCCAAGTAGTTGATAAATTCATTAACCCATCTGGTTCAACACCAATCCTCTTGAAAGACGTAGCTCATTTCCACATTGATAAATCACTTCAGCTGATTCCAGATTGAGAAGATTGGTACGAAGTATACGATTTTTGAATAATTTGGACTGCTCCCCGTAGCAGCATGAGTAGAGTTCCATATACTGCATGAAGAAAATATCAACACTTCTGTCTAAATCAGATACGCGACAGGATGCAATCGCACTTTTCAACGCCCGAACGAAGTTTTCTGCTGCATCATTTGACTATGGGTGTCGAGATGGAGTTGGGACCTGTTGGCAGCCAATCGATTTCAACCAGTCCGTCACGCTCTATGCTGTGAAGTGACTACCGTTATCAGTGACGACGGCTTGTGGAACACCCTTCCGGCTGAACGTCTTCCGGAAAGCAGTTATGGTGAATTCGGTGTTGGGTGACGTAGTAAAATAAACCTCAAGCCAACGTAAGTAAGAGTCAATAATCACTAGAGCGTAGTATTTGTCTAGGAAGGGACCACAGTAATCGGCATGCACTCGCTGCCAGGGTTCAGAAGACATTGGCCAAGGAGTCCACTTAGATGGTTGTGTGCGAGCTTTGTGGCTGCAGTCAACACGTGATCTGGCCACTCGACGCAAATCACTGTTAAGCTCTGGCCACCAGCAAGTCAAACGTACAAGTGATTTCATCTTTTCAATACCGAGGTGTTCCAAATGCAAGTCACTCAGCACTGCGGAGCGTAAAGATGGAGGGATGATTGTTCGGTCATTGAGACATAATATTTCATCACAAGTTACTGAAAGTATTCACGACCTTTATAAAACTCTGGGAATTGGCGCGTGGTGTCAGCTCGCTAACCGTGTTGAACACAAAAATAGCTGCATGATAGTACTTCTTTGTCTCTCGGACTAGGTTGGATCGACTGACAGGGAGTGGTTGTATCAGCAAACAATCAAATGTATCAGGCTCCTTCAATAAACCATAACGCGATCAATATTCCATGTGTTGAATCATATGAGCCTTGCGATGTTGAATATCGTAGGAATAACCGGCTAGTGTGACATTCCATCGATGTACCATGGCTACTGATGACTTTGCCAGAGATGGGTGGGAATTGCAAATGAAATTCAATGCCTTGTGATCCGATATAATTGTGAAATGTGAGCTATATAAGTATTTGTGCAATCGAGTAGCAGCCCAGTATACTCCAAAAGCCTCTCTATGTGTTTGGAAGTAACAACGTTCAGCATGACTGAGTCTGCGAGAAATGCATAGAACTGGATAACCGTTCTGCTCCAACACTGTTGCAATGCCAACTGGTGATGCGTCTGTAATTACTGTCGAATGTGCTTTGGGTGAAAAAGCATGTAAAACGGCATCAGTGGAAAGAAAACTTAGTAAGCTTCTAAGGGTGATTTCATGAATACGTGTCCATTGAAATGTTCGCTGTGAGACAAGTGTGAACAATGGTTCTGCTTTTGTGGCAAAATCTGGAATGAATATAGAATAATACTGAAGTGAACCGAGTAATGAACGAAGTTCTTCAGTTGACTTCGGAGAAGGTGCATTGGAAAGAGATGAAAAACGAGTAGGATCAGAACGGAAACCATGTTCATCAACAAGAAAACCCAAACCGGAAAATTTTGATGTAGAAAATGTACAATTATCTGAATTAATAGCAACATTATGAATATTAAACCGTTCAAGCAGTAAGCACAGACCCTTATCATGTAGTTCCTTGATTGATGC